CAGTAATATCCAACTCGGAGGATCTTGGCCGCCGCAGTTCGGGCTCATGAATAGGTTCCACATATGCTTTTGTGGATTTCTTTGAGGACATATTGTGTCTGCTCTGGTATTAGGCACTTTAGTAGCAGGGCAGAGACACCTCTTTTGTAGAGGTTGCCCGCTATCAAGTATATCGTGCCACTTTTGTTCGTACTTTCCATGCTTCAAGCGGCTTTATTGTCAGGTCACCGGTTGAGAGATAAGTGATGATGTCAGTCATCTAGCTAGCATTTCCTCCCTGTGTTTGTAGACATTCCTGTTCGGCGATGCTCAAATTCCTTATCTCTTGGTGTATCACACTGTGCAAATGATTCGCCCTTTTGCTACTTGCTAGCTTGGCTAATCGGTCGGCCCTAGCATTAAGTTCCCTGAGTGTGTGATGTATGCAAACTTCTTCAAATTTAGACTTGACTTTCTAAAATGCGTGAAAGTATCGAAGTAGTGTAGGATCTTTAATCTGAAACGTGCCATTGATTTGTTCGGTCACAATTTGGGGATCACTCTAATAGTTAACTCTTTCCACACCCATTTCTTTTGCCAATCGTAACCCGGCTAGCAGTGCCTCGTACTCTGCTTGGTTTTTAGAGGTTTTGAAGCTGAAGCATATTGATTGTTCTACCAACATCTGATCCATCCCTTCCAGTATGATCCCTGCTTCATTGCCTTGCTGATTGGATGACCCGTCCACATGTAACGTCCAGGCAACTACCCTTAGGTTGTTGTCGGGGTGGAATTCGTTCAAAAAATTAGCCATGCTTTGAGCCTTGATAGGTCCCCTTACCTCGAAATGGATGTCATACTGGGACAACTCCATTGACCATGCCACCATCCTTCTTGCTAACTTGGGTTTACGCAAAACATTGGCCACTAGATTGTCTATTCTAACAACGATCTTATGGCTTTAAAAATAGTGGCAGAGTCTTTGGGATGTCTGTACTAAGGCTAGGACAGTCCTTTCAAGGAGTTGGTATCGTGTTTTGGCTTCTTGGAGGACACGGTCGACAAAGTATATCGAGACTTGTTCCTCTGGCTCCTGTACCAGGGCTGCACTAATTTCTTCGTCTAAAACTCCTATGTAAATGATGAGGTCCAAGTGAAGCCACCAAGCCCATTGGGCCCACTAAGCTCTGAAGCAGTCAAATCTTCAAGTAACCTCCTGGCCATTGCTCTAGTGATTGGGCCTTTAGCCCATGCTCTTCCATCAAGTGCGTAGATATATTAAGACGATACAAAAGTTATTAGTAGATTGTGTTGCTAAGTTGTTAGATTAGAGTTGTATGTTTTACTATGTGTTGAAAAGATATTAATTTGTGATGGTTAAGTTATAAATTATGAATTGAACTATTGAGCTGATGAGATGATAATTGTGTTGTATAAAGTTGAAATGAGTTGTTGTGTTGTTAAAATGTGTTGTTAAACAATGTTGATGAGTTGTTGTGCTGATAAACTGTGTTGTTAAAATTGTGAGTTGACTGTGTTGTTCAAGTTGAAAGTTGATTGAGATGATAAGTTGAAAACTGTGTTGATAAGTTGCTGTGATGATAAGTTGTTGATCATTAGGACTAGAGGAGATGTTTTCCAAGTTGTTCATCCCATTGTGTGGATTGAGATAGTTGTGGTGCTTTGAGAGCCCAGTTTGTTGAAAAACCTTCCTTGGGAAGTTGTCCCTTGGAGTGGATGATGTGTTGTTCTCCTCTAGGACTTAGTTGGTCCTGTGTGTGGGCAAGGTCGAGGCACACATGTACAAAGCGACCACGATATAGGGGCCAGGTCGAGCTATATCGATTACAAGCGACCAATTCGAGTAAAGTACGAAGTCGAAAACTTATTTCCTAACCGAGTATCGGAGGGTTGTAGTATTTGGAGGATAGTCAGTAGGCTAATCCCATAGGTGGCTTAGTTAAGCTAGCTAATGTCGTGTTAGGCCTAAACCCAGCTCTCCTATCCTGACATAGTACTATACTTCCTTATTTAAGTGGCACAATCTGAGAAATTGTTATCGTATTGTGGATTTTTATCCAAATTTGTTGTTTACCTAACAAGCCCAAAAAGGTTATGTGTTGTCGATTTGGTAGGACCTAGCCACTTAGATTGCTCACCTATGTTGTAGGAGATCTTTGAATTGTAATGCATGACGACGCATAAGTTGTTAATGAGTTGATTTTGTGTTGATGTAAGTTGTATATATGTTGTTGCGTTGTGAAATTGTGGTTGTGCGTTGTTATGTGTTGTATGTTGAACCTGTTAAGGATGATGATAGTGTTGTGTGTTATAAGTTGTTTATATATATATATATATATATATATATATATATATTCTTTCTTCTGTATATATATATATATATATGTTGATTCTTTTCACTAGCTTACCCTTGCATATTTTCATGTAGTGTGGACTGCGATGATCATACTATGTGTGGGTGCAGGACAGGGATAGCCTGTTGTGAGTTGTTGGAGGCCACTTGGTGGTAAGAGTTGGAGTAGACGATCTTTTTGTGTAGGCTATCTTAGAGTAACATTTTGTTGACATTGTGTATATTTATTTGGCCTATTGAGCCTTTATGGTTGGATAGATGTATATATTTTCTTATTATACTATTTAGTATATATATTCTAGTGGTTTGTGGCGTTGTTCCATAGTGTGACGGTCAATGTGAGTCGCTACAAATAAGTTAAATTTAAATCAAGTTATTAGATATTACAACATATTTTTATTTTTATTTTTATTTTAATATTAAGAAACAAAAGTGTAATTAAAATAAATGAGTTGCAAATAAATTAACAACATACATGTTTTAAACAGTAAAAATAAAGGAAGAATAACAAATATGTGTAGCACAATAGAAAGCATAAAAGCAAGTCAGCTAATTGATACTCGATTTCACAGAATTTAACTTTTTTTTTTAATAATATGAAAATGAGTTGAAAGTGCCAAAGTAACAAGTAATAAACAAAGATTGTGACGCGTACGTCTTAAATTTTTAAATAATAATATATCTAGCAATTGATAATATATGTTAGCTAATTATAATTAATTTATGTATTTTTTTATATTTCATTATTTTAGACCAAAGTAGGGAAAATTTTTCTTATTTTTATAAATAATTATTTGAGCAATTACTTTTGTTCACGCTTTCTATTTTATTTTATTTTTTCTTTTGTGCTTATCCTTTTTCTACAAGGTATGGCGCTGATTTGAGCGTCGATCAATGAAGTGGACTACTACCTTTGTTTTGCACTAGGTTTGTTGATAAGAAGAAAAGTTAATTATTTATACATTGTCAGTATAAAATTTTTTATATTGGCAACTAATTCTATCTTTTAAAGTTGTTTATTTTATTATTATTTCATTAAATAAGCAACTAATATGACACTATTAAAATATATGATTGGTTGTCAGTGTAAAAAAAACTTTACACTGACAGTATATAGGTGATTAACTCTAAAAAGAATACTAATTCATTTTTTTTTCGTTTTGGAACTGGGCCATCCAACCCTATATCTGTCATTGTTTTTCTTCATTGTGTTCAGAACTGGCCCATTTTTTAAGCCCCAGAAACTCAACCCTGTTTATATTCCTTTTTTTTATTGGCAAAAATACATTTTTCGTCCCTTATATTATTTATTAGTGTCAATTTAGTCTCATTTTAATTAATTAAATCAATTTAGTCATGCATCTTTAAAATGTATATCAATGTTTGACCTTCTGTTTCCTCCATTTAAATACTTAACAGATTTGACACGTGACATGATGACATGACATGTGTCATACTACCATACCATGTGTCATGCCACGTGTTGTGATGTCATGACACGTGGCATGACACGTGTCACATCCATTAAGTATTTAAACAGAAGAAACGGAAGGTCAAACATTGAAATACATTTTAAAAATATGGGACTAAATTGATTCAATTAGACTAAATTGATACTAATAAATAATATAAAGGAAGGACGAAAAGTATATTTTATCTTATTTATTTATTCTTTTGTTTTGGTTGTTTTTAGGCCAAGCCTAACTCGGTAGGCCGTAGCCACCAAAGTATGCTTATAGATTGAGAATGATCTGACTATTTAGTTGAGAAAATCATTTTTATATGAAAATAATAATATTTTGGATCATTTTGAAAACACCAAGATTTAATATCACATAACCATTTAAAAAATTAAGTACTTTTTTTAAATAATAAAAAAAAAGAACTCAATTCGTATGCTCACACATAATAATTTCACATAAAAAAGTCATTTCACTAAATACATCTTTCAAAACACATAAAAATATTACATATCCCAATATCTGTTTCTGTCATACCTATGTTGCTACGTATCCAAGCTTCTTAAGTCTTCCTCCTTTACAAAAATAAATAGTTTGTTGGGCGCTTATGCATTATTATAACTTCTAAAATAATTTGAATTGTTTTTATTTTAATAATTTAAAACTTAATTTTATAAATTATTTGAAGTGATTTTTGTTTTTTTAATTTTTACCCTCATTAATTTATTTGAAATCTCTTTTTACTTCTAACTAATTTTTAATGTCTTTTTACATTTATCAAGTAACTTACCTGCTAATTTTGTTAAATATTTTCGATTCAATTAGTTAGATTATAAACTTCTAGATTTTCTATTCATAGCTAACATCTTATAAGCTAGTTTTATCGAACTCACCCAAACTCCGACAAGGCTAGCGAAATCCTTGGTTCAGAATGTTATGATACACGGAATTCTAGCAGACCTCAATAGGAGAGGCGTGTGGGTTGGGTTATTTCGCGAATGGATTGGATCACAACTTAGGTCATTGGAGCTTTCAAAAGGATCAATCTACGAGCCGTTGTATTGTGTGTAACGCTTTCAAATGGATAGAAGGTTAGTTGGTTACCTATGCCTTGTATTTCGGACTTTACATTGATATGCAGGGGGGAACTAGTCCTCATGCACTTGTTAAAACGGCAACACAAATACTCACATCTCTTAATTCTGAACTGTTTATTTTAACAAATCTGAAGTTATTTCTCTGAATACAGCGCAGCAAGGTACAAAGCATTGTAGCCAAAACAAGAATCTTAACCGCACCAGAATAATATCTAGAGGAAAAAAATAAACTCAAGACAATAATCATCATAACTTACGAGTCCTCATCACCAATATATATTAAAGGGTCCTAATTTTTCACACTCGTTACATACTTGAGGAGCATGGCGACAACATCATCTGATATTCTTGCAGCCTCAGTTTTCAGGTGATGGATTTTTGCTTCAGTCTCTTGCTCAAGCCGCTTCACATTAGCTCCAGAATCTCCAGTACTCTGTATTAATAAGAGATACGCAGACAATTTAGAGTAAGAGAATACATCATAAATTAGAATAATATAAAGGGGTAGTCTAACAGCATCAAATACAATCGTAGACTTACATCTGACACTTTCTTTTGAAACTCGTACTCTAGTTGAGCTCGGTATTCAGCAATCTCCTTATCAGCCTCTTCCTTGGCATGTTTCAACCTAGCCAATTTTTCTAACAGTAGACATGCAGAGGACATCATTGATTAGTGTACAACAAATAGATATAATTGTGCTAAAATACACAAGTGAATAATACCAAAAACCAAAATATTCCTATCAACTAGAGATTAAACAATTAAATAATATATACGTAGAAAACAATTCTCACTTTACAAGCTAATTTTGTAAGGTTGAGTTTAAGTTCAAATTCACTATTCAAAGATGATATTAGAACTATCCTAAATCATTTATCCATGTACCAAGCCCAATAATACTGGTCGTGAGGGGGTGATGTACGGGAAAAACCCAAGTCAATCCACTATCCAAGCCCCACATCGACCAGAGATTAGGCAATTAAATTCTACATAAGTGAAAAACAACCCTCACCTTACAACAAACTCATGCTTATCATAAAACCAAGAATCCATACCTCCATGTAAGTATAAAAAGACCAATACAAAATGACTAGTGCAGAACACATCTCTTTGGGCATAAATAACTTACTAGGAAATAATTATTTTAATGAAGGTGCGTAATGAGAACAAAATTAGATGAAATTATGACCAAAAAAAAATGGGAAGATACGAAAAAATAATGAATATTAAAAGTACCATTTTTTGCAGCATTCACAATCCGTTGTGCCTCCTGTTCAGCAGCCAACAACTGCTGAATTCCACCTTGACCCCTATTGGATGCCATTCTGTGATAAAAACATTAACAATTATTAACAAATGGTTCATTGGTTAAATGAAACTACAAGAAAGTAAACATAAAGCAAGACTTCCGGCAACATAAATCAACAACTAAAACAAACCACCTTGTTTGTCACTCGCAATTCAGGAAAAGAGCAAGGAACGCAACAACATTACCACAAGAGAACAATTCTTATCATATAATATTGAAATTTTGAACTACACAAACTATGTAATCAACCAAATACTCTTCTCCCTCCAAACAAACAACAAAAACAAAACATTATAAATTTCTTCAAAAACACTTACATGAGAGAAAAATAAGAAGAAAAAATTAAAATAAGCTAAAATTAGCTTCTTCAAAATTGAAATAGGCTAAATATAAGATTATGGAGAAACTAATAGGAGAAAGTTTCTTCAAATTATCTTATGCATTAGCTAATTTTAGTTCATAGAAAAAATTATTTTATTTTTCCTGCTTATTTTTCCTTCCTCGTAGTGAAGTGCTCCAAGAAATGTTTACCAAAAGAGACTTTGGGTGAGGTCAGTTACACGATCACACAACGCCATTTGTCTCTATTAGAGACCAAAGTTCAAAGATATTGTTTAATATATACGGCCTTCCAAACAGGGTGAGAAAAGTCATTAGACAAATTACTTGCAGCAACATCATACAGAATGGAAGCATGCAACCATATACAGATTATAATTGCCTTGATTTGCAAAGACGATAACAGTTTCAAATTGTCCGCAACCCTTGATACTGCGGTTTCAGAGGCGTCCGCAATCACATCATGGTTGCAATTCAAAACCTTACCGCATTCACAAAAGCAAGCTGATCCAGATAACACATAAAGAGGGAACAGTAACCTCAAAAATGAAATCAACGGCAAACTGGAATCATCCAACAAAATCACAAACTACACACAGTCAACATCGGATCCAACTCCTCCAAAGTGAGCAATTCAATTCAAAGACTAAAGTAAGTATTCACCATTGTTCGATGACAAAACAAATCAACCGTCGATATTGCATGGACATCAAACATTCATTTTCTTATCTAGTTAACCACTGCGAACAATTACTTCACTCAACTTCTCCGGAACCGTCAATATTATGTAATTAATTTTCAGATTGAAAACCTAGAAGAGCTAACCAGCATGCACGAATCGAAATTCAGTTGATACAATAATTTCTATCTAACCGCGATGATCAGATAATTGGGTTTAAAAATAGGAGAGATCCGAATCTAGTTAAGGCGCAGTTCAGTAATTTTAATTATAGAGGTAAATAATCGAAGAGAAAGCGAAAGGAAAGAGGGGAAATGTAATTTGGTAATAATAAAGAGAGAAAGAAGGAAACGGCGTGGAATTAGAGCGCAATGGAATCGCATAGATCTGAAAGGGAAGAAGAAAGAGAGAGCCGTACCTGTGGGAGTTGTTGTTAGATTCAGAAGAAATAGGAGAGACGCAGAGATCGCCAGAAATTTCCGAATGGTGTGGTGTGGTGTCAAACAAAAACTGTCCCAGCGATCTCGCCAACTCTTTTGCTTCTTAATCCAATACACTCGGGCCACCTATTTTCCCCACTGCGGCTATTTCACTTTTACTCCTTCCTAAATCATTATTTTCTTCTTAGTTAGGGATTTGGGATGGTAATTCTAAAGCATGGTCATTATTTTGAAATTTTTCTTAAATGTGTATTTTTATGGGGGAAAAAAAAGTAAAAAAATTGGATAAATTATGTTTGTGAAATATAATATTTTTTTTTTCTTTTTGGATGCCTGAGACCCAACAGTGATATGCAATAAGCAAATCATTGTACCAGGCTAATTTTAAAAACATGACTCATTTATTTTTATAATTTTAAAAAAACTCATTTATAATTTTTTTAAAAGAAAATCCTATTTAGATAAAAAAAATTAATTTATCAATATTTACACAACAAAATATACTCATAATAAAAAAATATATTAACCAAAGAGTTGTGAGTATAAATAGTTTGATACTTGTCCTATTTAACTATGAACCGAAATTTAACCTTCGACTCTAATATTTTATGATTGAAGATATTACTTTAATCATATAAGAGTTGACATAAAAAAAATATAAATTTGATAATTTTGTTAAATTAAATATTAACTATAAATTTCTCCTAAAACTTTTAACTTTTTGGTCACGAATTTGCAGTAACGAATGTAAGTATGAGTATATATATATATATATATATATAAAAGGAGAGATGGGAAAGGGATTCACTTACTTCAAAAATAAGTCTACTTATACTTATTTCACTTTATAACTCATATTTTATATTAAATTTTAACCATCCAACTATTAAATTAAATTTTCTTAAGACATAGGTTGAGTTTACAAAGTTTTTAAAAAATTAAACTTAAATCAAAATATAAAATGATTTTATTATTTTATGATTTATATAATAAAGGATCAAATAATTTTTAAATTTTTCAAAACTTTACATACTTGATCTATATATTATAAACTTTTAATTCAATGATTGAATTGTAACTCTCATAGAGAGAATGAAAATGGTTTCAACACTCACTAAGGTTTTCAACCCTAGTTTTACAAGAATGTGTTTAGAGTGTGTACGTAACTCTCACAGAGAGGATAAGATGATTTCTACACTCACTAAGATAAACTATCTTACTTTTCCACGGATATTCAACTTTTGCACAAGAAGAGAGGTAAGATTGTTTTGACGCTTGTTTTGGCTTATTGCTTGTTGCTTCTCTCTATATTTTTTTTTTCAGGTCTTGTTATTTATAGCCTTGTGATAGATCTGCCCGTTATTTGAATTTGAATGTGTCCGTTGAGGCAGAGCTTTCCATTAGTCCAGATAAACGTTCGTTCATGGCTACACAGATCTTTTTCATTTAAAGCATATGATTTTGCATTAAATGTTTTGCTTGCTTAATCTGTGTTACGTGAAGTCCTTTGCATAATTTGTCTCTTTTTATTTCTGACTTCAATCATGACCTAGGTTTGTTTGTCCTTTTTTCGTCATTGTAACTGCGGAGGCGTTGCCTTTCTCTGAAAAGTAGGTATACTTGCTCTGACACACGCAGCTTTGACTTGTGAATTCGCGCTCTTGCATTTTTCTTCTTTCTTTTCATATCTTTGATAACTCTGTGCGCTTTTCTTACGAATGGAGATGATGTATGATTTTCCTCGTTGTGACTAGTGGACTCTAGACGCTTTTCATCATGCTTCGTTTGCGTCTGGAAAATTGAGTCTCCGTCTAAGGGTTAGACTTTGACTTTTTCATCTCGTCTAATCAGTCTTAAGGGTGAATAACTTTTATTCCATCTGGAATGTTTCTTCGTCTTGTGTTATCCAATGACTGATAATTGTTTTGTTGACTTAAATATATATGGTTGACCCTTGAGCTTCGTCTGATGTTTACTTGGTGCTTGAGCCAACTTTGTCTTGGTCTTGCTTTGTTCTTGTTTTTGATTTCATATATTGTGCTCTGGATTGTTCTTGGCATATCTTCATTTGGTATTCATTATCGTCTAATACGCAAGCCATGATCCTTCTATTATTTGGCTTGTTTTGTTGGATCCTTGTTTTGCTTGACCCTACTTCATGCTTCAGTTTTGTCTGTTCTTATACATATTTGAAACACTACTACACGTATTAGTAATAACAATGTGTATTATATTTTTCATATTCAAAACCTTGCTAGGAATTACTTCGTCTGACTTAACAAATGGCATGGAGCATCTACTCGAAGATTGAAGATCAAGTGTACATTTTGTCACCCTTGTTACCCAATGGAGTACGCAACCCAACACTCAGCTACTCTAAAAGGCGAGGATATAGACAAACCCGCCTATTTGAGGGAAATGACGCAAAGCACCAGCACGAAGAGACAAAGAGAAAACCTAGACGAAATGTCTACGTCTTTACTTGCCTTTGGAAAAGCAAACACCTAGCTATCTCAAAGGACATGTAAAGAGGGACATCTATAGACACCTAATTTCATCCAGACCTACAAATAAAGAAATGAACTTCTATTATGAAGAAAAAGAGTTCCCGAAAGCCTAAAAATGACACGATATGACATCATTAGGCCCAAAGCCCAATAAGGGTGATTTAGTAGCCTAGAACGGGTCATTCCCAATCTAGAACGGGTCATTCTAAACTACTAAAAAGGCCTAGAAACCCTAGTTTGGAACGGGTTGTTCCCAGTCCAGAATGGGTCGTTCTAACACAGGTTGTTATGAGTTAAATTCAAATCCAGAACCTGGTTGTTCTAATACCAGAACGGGTCCTTCCAAATTCAAATTTTATTCGTAACAAACTGATCCAGAACGAGCTATTCTGAAATCGGAACGGACCGTTCTGGTCAGTTCTGACGTCTATAATTATTAGACTCAGACACTGCTCCCTAGGCGAGAAAAATTCGTCTAGAAAGTCTGATATAACTCAAATCTTTCCCTCGTCTTGTATTTCTTGAGATTTTGTGAGGTACATTGTAGTGTGTTAGGTAGCCAAAAAGCACCTAAGAGTCTCCCTACTTGAAGATCTAATAAAGCTCGGTCAAAAGGTATTTCAATCAACACTTCTCTCTATATATATATATTTCTTCATATTAATCAATATTATCCTAAATAATAAAAAGAGTAATCATGTAGACATTTTAGGGTAAATCGGGTAATTAAAATTTTATGTATATAAATAATCATCAATAAAGGGAATTTAATATTTAAATTATTATTTCTTATTATGCTAGCTTCATCATAGGGTACTACTGGTTTAGGGTGTTGTATTCCCTACACATAATCGACCCCGAGCCCCATTTTGGTTAAGGCCATTATTGGATTTTCGAAAATCTTTTCCTTTTCTAATGTTTTGAGCAAAACATTAGTGGTGACTTCATGAACTTACTTTCAAAACCATTAATTAGGGATTAGTTTGGTTTCTGAGCATTCTTTAATTAATGAGATGTTTCAAACAAGTACTCCAAACCATTGGTGTAGGACATTTTTCTTTATACTCTTCTTTAGATACTTACTTTTCTTTTTATATATCTCTTTTTTATAAGCATTTTCTTTTTTAACATAATTATTAATATTATTTTATAAAATAATAGTAATAGTAATAATAAAACATTTAAAAAGGACATTTTTAGATCTTTCAAATACAATATACTCAAAGGTTTTACAATTATTATGGCTTAAATTTTCAAAGATTATAAAGAGACACAACCAAAGAAAATCAAAAATTCACTTAGATGAGAGAGAGAACTCAAAGGCTTTACAATTGAGTAAACATTCAATTTAGTTCTTAAAAGATTGTAAAGATGGCCAACAACTAAATATTGTCATCATTGTACTTTACTTTTTGCTTTTATCAGTTTTTACATATGAGATGTCTTCTAAGTAAGTCTTTATTTTGGGCCTTTTAAACCAGGTCTTTAATACAAGTCTTCTGAAAAACATTGTTTTAATTGAAGTCATCTAATGGACAACATGAAGTACTAGTCTTTTGAGTCGGGTCTTCAATAAATACAAGAAGTATTACAATCATTTTGTGCATTGAAAAGTCTGATTTTGTCTATTAGTCTATTTAAAAACCTATTTTACATTAACAATGTTAAATATGTAAATAAATCTAATCTTATAAAAGCTAACAAATCTATTTTTAAATTAGCATGCGAATATTTTTTTAATTTTTGTGATAAGAAGTACTTTATTTTATTGTTATTAAAATTTAGAATTTGAAATAAAAATAAAAATTTAATGTAAGAGGGACAACTCATGTGCATTGTACACTCACGCACAAATATAATGAAAAAAAATAATCTTGCAAAAATAACTTTCTAAATATATTCTATATCTCATTTAAAATATTCTAAATAAACAACCATGAAGATGAAAGAAAACATTTGATTTAGTGAAAATGTCAAAAATATTAATAATAATTTAATTTTTTATATTTAAAATTTTTAATTATATTGTTAATAATGTAATATATATATATAT